TTTATTTCACATTCGCTCTTACAATCACCCAAATTACAATCTGACGATTACTGCTATCTGCAGTATCACAAATAGTACACTCCCAATGCCACAATACAACTGACTGGTTGCTGGCTAACTCGACGATAGGTCCAGGACTCGCTGACTGACTCAGTACAACGCTGCGGTAGCCACACTAGAACTGACTGTGAATAGCCTTCGCTGCTCCGTATGTAGCCTCGATCGGACAGTACGGGAAAACGGCCACGTAATAGGCACCCTTTTTGCCTGGCGCTGTGTTGCTATGTAATGCTAGCGGAAGTAACCGCTGTTACTATCGTAACGTCGCCGCTGTTGACTCGCGTTGCCTAGCGACCGCGATATCCCTCGGTGACGTCACCGCGGAGGGGAGTGGCGGGGCGGGAACTCGCCTGTTACCGTAAGAACGCGAGCGTTACGTTACCGCCACGTACCGCTGGGGAGGTGGGGGTCAACATGTCACAATATGAAATCCAAAGGTTTTTCTGTATTCACAAGAGCTTGCCTGTGACCTTTTCCTGAGCGTGTTGAAATCACACACCATGTGTGACATTTTGTAACATGCTGCAAATTTGATGCAAATTTTTGAGAGAGAGTGTGTATGCATGCATGTGCATGTGAAAGATGTAACATTTGACTAATTATTGTGTGTGATATGGCAGTGATCATTTTCATATCTTCTCACCAGGCAAAACCAAAGCGTCAGCGTAAGACACGTGAGGCTAAGGCAGTTCTAACAAAAGAGATCATTGAAGATGACTTAACATCAGGAGATGAAAACACCAGCAATACTGTAGCTTCTAGCAGCACTCTGGCTCCTCCAAAGCGACCACCCAAAGGAAAACCTGAGAAAGTCAAAATCAAGTCTGAAGGAGATGCAGAAGAACCAAAGAGTGATACCCCTGAAGACAAGGATAAGGAAGAGACTGTAAACAAAGAAGAACATCGCAAAGAGAAGAAAAAGTTCAAAAAAGAGAAAAAGGAATCAAGAAAAAAGAAAAAACCAACTGGACCCATGCATTTCACAGCCAACAGTGAGCCTCGAGCACTTGAAATCATTGGAGACTTGGAACCATCTGTGTTTAATGAAGTATGTTAAGTGCATTCATTATATTGTAGTGTCACCCATGTGATTAGATCAAGAACATGGAATTTGTTTTCTGTTGCAAGGCAAGATCACTTTCTTCACAATTACAAAATTATATGTGCTCTTATATTTTTGCCAGCCATGCTAACTGAATGTCAGAGGCATGATTATAAGCACCTCCTCCTCCTCCTCCTCCTTCTTCTTCTTCTTATTCTTCTTTTTGTTCCCTGTGTCTATGACTATTTTACATATTGAATGAAAAGGAGCAAGGAGATACGTACAGAACTTTCATTTGGGCACGAGTACTTCTGCCAAGACAAAGGAAGGATTCAAATCCATTTTCTCTATGTAATATTAATTTGTATTTAAACAAAGTTTTACTTCTGGGCTAATCCTTACATTTATAAGGAAGTTTTGTCATTTTATTTCTTAAAACCTTAATTTCTTTACACTGTAACTGTAACCGACCAAGTGGCCATGCATGGTTGTACCTCTGAGGTGGAATATTTTTTTGCCTGTCCCATCACATTTGACCCACTGAGGTTCGGATTACAGGTGGAACTGATAAACCTATGGCTTAAATATATTACAAATAAAACTGTCCCTGATTTCAGCAGATGCTGGCACTGCACCCCATTGTTCCACATGCATTCCTGACACCTTTGTAAAAAGTTTGCATTTGGCCTTTGAAATTGTTCTTGTGAGGTAAAGAAAATATCCATCAAGATATTTTCTTTCAGATCTGGAAGTATATGAGCTTATCATCTGTAAACATTTTTGCATTAGGATTGTCTATGTACAAAAGATATACTGATTTAGATTGGAGGAGTTTGCTGTCCACAAATCACTACTAGCAATTCAGTTCCCACATCCCCAGGAACATCCTTGGATGCCCTATTGTAAGAGCAGTAGTAATCTTTTTGGAATAAAGCAGACTGGCATTTTTCATATGTTAGCCACTCAAAAAATGGACACACTGTGTTTGACACACATAAAATTAATTGTCCTTGAAGATAATCAGTGTAAATCTACTTTCCCATGCAACTGAAACCAAGCCTCTCAGATGTGGCATTTTGATATAGGAAGTAACGTCTGACTGAATGACTGCTGAAGACAGTGGTAAGATACAGTAGCAAGAGTTAAAGCACTCTGGGTCTTTCGAGATGTGAGTTGGCTAACCCAAAATGCACTAGTTCACTTCTTGGCTACACAGTCTAGAAAACTGACTTTACAGTATTAATACTGTTAAATAAAGTAAACCTTAAGTATAAAGGCGTGTCCACATTACTCGTGCTTGTGCTCATCGGGAGACTCGTGTGGCTTTTACTTGTGCTTGTAAAGCTTCGTCCACACTGCTTCAGTTGCTTGCCAGGCTTCAGTGCGTGAGGATCCATATATTTACTCATAGTGTATATAGGCTGTAGTCATATTTTAATTTATTGGCTATAGTTTTTTAATTAAAAATTTAAAATTTGCTTGTCTCATGACTTGTCATATCGTCTACATTACTCGCGAGCATAGCGAGTCACACAAGCATGAGTAATGTGGACACGCCTTAAGACAGTGTAAGAAAAGAGCTTATTCCAGTTGTCTTTTTATGTTAAAGAGTAAAAGCATATTTGCATGCAAGAATATACATTACTGATGTCCTGATTACTATAAAATGCAGTGTAATTATGAGTCAATATTACTGATATTTGAACATGCCTGCCTGGGCTATACCAGTTGCAGACCATAGGCTTATACTTACTGTTGTTTCAGCGGCCTCCATAGTCTAGGGGTAACGTTCCCACCTCATGACTCAAGGTATGCGGGTTCAAACCTGGCGGAGGTCATGGAATTTTTAAGGGCGGAAAAATTCAGGCAACAAGTCCTCCGGGAAGGACCTAGCCGTGTGTCCCGTGTCATAGATTTACAACACGTAAAAGAACCTCATGTCTCTAGAAGACCTCTGAGCTAAATTAGGCAACAATTTCCTGCCCAAGTAGTTTTCAATGTCTCTGGTAGATGGGGGAAATATCAAGGTACCAAGGGCCTCGTTGGCTCAACGGGTCTGATAGCACTCAGTACCGGTAGGGTATGGAGACTGGTAGAATATCAAAGGGGGACGTACAATAGATCAACAACTGGTCGCGGTGCGTGGGGAAACCCACCCCCTCCAATAACAATAATAATAATACTGTTGTTTGCAGGAGTACACATCTTTAGATAAGAACCTTGTGATTGAGAACACATGTTAAGTGAACTTTATGGTTCTGTATAATTAAAGGTATCCTCTTTTTACAGTGCAAGGAGAAGATGCGTCCAGTGAAGAAAGCTTTGAAAGCCTTGGACAATCCTGATCAATCTCTCGCAGAGCAAGAACAAGTCAATCATACAAGGCAGTGTTTGCTGCAAATTGGTGACCAGATTAACAGATGTCTGTCTGAATACAAGGATCCTGACAAAGTGAAAGAGTGGAGAAGGTAGTGCTTAGTGACAGTATAGTTCATGTTTGCAAATAATGTCTTTGTGTCTGTTTACAAAGTTTCAAGTCCTCACATGTTTTCATTGATAGCTCTCCTGAATGTCATTATAATGTATTAATTTTTCAATAGAGAGTTGCTAACCATTTTGTTTTCAGTCTTCGTATATTGTATTTGTGTTTGGTTGAAGCTAAAACATAGATAAATTGAAGTAACTTCATTGGTTGTGTGTTTCAGATATATATGTATAAGACCATCATCAGGCAGTTATACATAGGAATACGTATAGTCAGTGTTCGGCACTGTGCAGTGGTTCGATGTAGATCAAACCACTGCACAGTGTAGAACACTGACTATACGTATACACACCCAGACAAGAAACACACATACATATAACAGCATCAGCTGTAACAATGAAAATAATAATAATGATAACAGTGATTATGAAATGGTGCATAATGCTGCATTGGCTAGTCTGAAATGTTACTCAGCTTAAGAGAATTTTTTTCAGTCTGATTTTTAATGTTCACTCAATCAAAAGGCGTTTCAGGCAAGATTTTTATACTGAGATCATCGTTTTATATTACATTAATTTCTTATATTTGCTGGATATTTTTTAGAAAATTGCCATTGGTTTGTGAAGTTACTTGACCGCCTCTGTGGTCTAGTGGTCAGAGTTCCTAGCTACAGATCCAGAGGTCCGGGTTTGATTTCCAGCGCTACCAGATGTTGTCGGAGAAGTAGTGGGTCTGGAACGGGGTCCACTCCGCCTCATGATGATAACTGAGGAGCTGTTTCAAGGAAATAGTGGCTCCAGTCTAGAAAACCGAAATTAACGGCCATGGGGATTCGTGCGCTGACCACGCGACACCCTCTATCCACAAAAGTTGGTACTGAACTTTGCCAAAAAGTGGCGGTCGTTCGGTCAGTATAGCTCGCTTGCAGACTAAAATCACGGAGTTTGTGAAGTTACTTGTGAATTCCTCGAGTTTCAGTAATATGATTACATTTCTTGGTTTGCAGCAGAAGTGCACATTATCAGTTTAAATGATATCAGGTCCCTCAATTCCAGTGGTGACTGTGTTGAGAAGTAGCTTAAGTGTGTACATATTTTTCATATAATATAAATTTTCCCCCCACTGCTTGTTAACAGCTCACTGAAGGTTACTTTCTGAATAGCCTTCATAGTAGTATTATACCGAAGACAGTTGCTCTATTGTTGTTTATGTCCTTAGCTTGCTGAATTAAGTGTTCAATAGAGAATAACTTCACTGAAGCTATGTTAATTTTGTAAATGTCAAAGTCTGGCCCTTGGTTCAATATCTTAGCATTGTCCAGAATTACGTAGGTCATACTGAAAGTCACGAGCAACTTTTTTTTGCATGCAACCTGGGAACAGCAGATGAAATATAGTATGGTGGTAGGTGGAACCAGCTGTTGTGTTAACCTTGAGTGTCTTGTGACATTAATAGCTTGCATCACGTGACCAGTATCACTCATAACAAAATGGCTGACAACGATATTTCATTTTGCCAGCATGCTGTCATCGAATTTCTTGTGAAATAGGAAATCCCTGCTGGAGAGACTTCAGTGTGCTTATGGAAGTGTGTGCATGGGTGCGAGCAGTGTTCGAAGATGGGTGAAACATTTTAAAGATGGGAACACCAGCATCAAAGATGACCTTCAGATTGGTCGTCCTCAAACAGCCTCAACTGAATGCAACAAGGAAAGAGTGGATGAGATCATTCAAGATGACAGGCATGTGACTGTGGACACAATAGCCCGAAAACTTGGAATAGGGTACAGTGCAGTACAGGAGATGATTGAAAGCTTGGGCTATAGGAAAGTTTGTGCTTGTTGGGTCCTGCGGTTATTGACCGAAGACCACAAAGGTCAGCAAAAAGTCATCACCTCAGAACTACTGCAGAGATATTGACACGAAGGCGATGATTTTTTGCTCTGTATTGGGACGAAAGCTGGTTCCACAATTTCGAGCCTGAAACGAAACGGCAGAGTATGGAATGGCACCATTTGCATTCTCCATCAAAAAAGAAGGCAAAGACAGTGCCATCAGCTGTGAAGGTGATGGGCACGGTCTTCTGGGATACAGAGGGGTGTATTCTGGCCGAATTCATGGAACCTGGGCAAACCATCAGTGCTGCTCGTTATGTCCAGACGCTGCACAAGCTTGTTGTGCATTGTGCGATAAACGTCTGGGATGAAACATCATCATCCTGCATGACAACGCTCGCCCCCACGCCGCTCACCTCACATTGAAAGCAGTTGCAAAGATGGGGTGGGAAGTTCTTCCACACCCCTCCTATAACCCTGATCTGGCACCCTCCAACTACCATCTTTTCAGATTTGTGAAGGATCAGCTGTGTGGACAACATTTTGAGACAAGGGAGGCAGTTCAGAAAGCAGTGCATCAGTGTCTTCAGATGGCTGGAACAGAATTTTACAGAAGGGGAATTTTCAGACTCCCAGAATGCTGGGAGAAATGTGTACAAAGAAGTGGCGATTAGGTGAAAAAATAAAGAAAGGTCTATAGATTGAGGTGGTGTATTTGGTTTGTCAATAATAAAGCATGTTACTTTACAAAAGACTGTTGCTCATGACTTTCAGTACGACCCTTGTAAATTACAGATTTAACTAAATAATGGTCAAAACATATGTCGCTGCCTCTTTATAGTTCAGTGTTGCAATGCCACTATACTGTGCTTGAGTTGCTAATGTTTTATTTACCATAACATAATTATACTTCTTCATAACATAACATATTCATATACATAACATACTTATAATTTAATTGTATTTGTTATAGTTGTAAGTGTATTTTCATTGTATTTAATGTGTGCTACTGTGTCCTTTGTTGTTTGTGTAGGTTTTTGTGCTGTGCTTTGTTTGAGTGTGGTGTGTTATTTGTGTGTTGTTCCTTATTGTAGTACCACTGCCACCAGACAAAAGCCCATTTGCAGTTTAAATAAATAATAATAATCTGTAAGTGATCTTATGTCTCTTTGGCTTCATGTATATTTCATATGTAGTCTGTTCTTAAATGTTTCTAGTTAACATCTTACGATGAACATATGTATTTTTGTAATTCTTATGCCAGATAATTAATTGCAAAATACTGTAGTGGATTTCTCATATGGTATATATTCTATATACAAAGTAATGGATTTCTCAGTGTATAAGAGACAAAATGGTGCAAGAAGCAGAATTTAAGATCCTTCGCAAATCTGTATTTGCTGTACATAATTTCAGCATTCCCTAAGAGGCAGCACTGATGTTTGGTTTTGTAGCTGTATCCTAGACTGCCTCAATAAGTCACTTCTGCAATAATAATATCTCTCTAAGCGCCATTTTAATATTGTTCACCCACCTACACCGTGGTCTTCCCACTGGTCTCTTTCCATCTGACAGTGAAATATTATTCTCTTCATTAGAATTAATTTTCTCAAAAATAACCCCAGCCCTAATGTATCTTATTGTATCTGAAAACCTCAACATTAGTGGTTTAACTTTGATTCTAATTAGATATGTGCAAGAATGATTTTTTTTTTTTCCAGTTTTGAGACAAGATCAGTATGAGAATTCAGAAAATTTTCGAGAATTGAAATCAGAACTCACTCGCTCATGGAGCTGGGCCCTTCTTGAGAACCTGCCAATTGTGCAGCTACTCAAGAACTTCCCAGCATTTTATGGAACCTGAAGGTTCATTGCTTTGTTCACAAGAGCCCTCCACTGGTCCCTATCCTGACCCAGATCAATCCAGTCCACACCATCCCATCATATCTCTCTAAGCTCCATTTTAATATTGTTCACCCACCTACACTGTGGTCTTCCCAGTGGTCTCTTTCCATCTGTCTTTCCCACCAATATCCCACACGCATTCCTTTTCTCCCCATTCGTGCTACATGCCCTGTCACCTCATCCTCCTCGACTTGATCATTCTAATTATGCTTGGAGAAGAGTACAAGTTATGAAGCTTCTCACTGTGCAGTTCTCTCCAACCTCCTGTCACTTCATCTCTCTTCGGTCCAAATATTCTCCTCAACACTCTTTTCTCAAACACCCTCAGTCTGTGTTCCTCCCTTAATGTCAGAGATCAAGTTTCAAACCCATGCAGAACCACAGTTCTGTGTATTTTAATTTTTATGTTTTTGGACCGCAGACAAGAAGACAAAAGGTACTGGACTGAATGTTAGTAAGCATTACCGAAGTTTAATCTCCTTTTAATTTCCTCCTGAATCAGGTTTTGATTTGTTATAGTCGTTCCCAAATATCTGAACTGTGCCACATTTTCAAAACATCTGTTACCTATCTTTATGCCATCATTTTTCCCTGCATTTTGGTGATGAGACAGCAACATATACTTCGTTTTCTCTGTGTTTATTTTTAGACCAACCTCTTTACTAGTGTCAATTAAAGTTTGTGTGTTTGTCTAGAATGGAATCTATATTATCACCCAGAGATTCACATCATCAGCAAAGACCAACAGCTGATGTGTCCCATTTAATTTCAGTCCCACCTGGTTTTCCTGGACTTTTCTAATGGCATATTTCAAAGCAAAGTTGAAAAGGAGTGGCAAAAAAGGATCTCCTTTTTTAGACCATTCTGGATAGGAAAATTATCAGACAGATGTTCAGATGTTTACCTATATGGACTTTACCATACTTTTCATTTAAACACATTTTAATCAGCCTAACTAGTTTCATAGATATCCCAAACTCTATCAGAATATTGTACAATACTTCCCTCCTAACTGAATCATAGACTTTCTTCAAGACTATGAATAGCCAATGTACTGTCTCATTGCACTGCCATTTTTTCTCCAATATCTGATGAATGCACAAGACCTGATCCATAGTGGATCTGTTACGTCAAAACCCACAGTGATGATCCCCAGTAATTTCATCCATATATGGACTTAACCTTGAGAGAAGAATATTGGATAAAATTCTGTATGAAGTTGATAGCAGTGATATCCCACAACAATTACTACAGTCAGTTTTATCACACTTCTTGTGAACTGGTACAATAGTAGACTCCTTCCACTGATCAGGCAGTTTTCCTTATTCCAAATAGAATTAATTAGCTTATGGACCTTAGAATGTAATATTTGTCCTCCTGCTTGAATAAGTTCTGCCAGAACTTTATCACTACCTTGGGATTTATACCTTTTAAAATTTGCAGTAGCAATTTCAACCTCAAAAGGGCTAGGATCTGGTACTAATGGCCCAGCTGTATATCTTTCTATCTGCCTAACATTACCATGTACATTCAATAACTGAGAGAAGTAGTTCTTTCACCTGTTCAAAATGTTTGACTCTGCAAGAAGATCACCATTGTCATCCTTCACTAATTTACTTCTAGTTTGGTAACCCCTCTTAAAGTAATTTATTCCTCTATACAGGTCTCTAATGTTCTTCTTCTTACTATTCATTGCAAGCTCATTAATTTTGTCTTTCAGATATTCCCTCTTTCTATTCCTCAAATGCCTGCTGGTTTCACATCTTATATTGTTCAGATTATCCCCATTTATTTCCCTTGTATCCTGTAATCATGGGAATTTATTAAATACGAGTACATTTTCTAGTTCTTCATAGAACCTGTCCTTTATGTCATCAGTTTTATCTTCTGTTGGGACATGAATAGTCAGAATGATGATATCACACCAGCAACCTCTTGGTATTATGTATGACTGGACAAGAACTTTTATTTACAAGATCTTGTGGGGGGTAAAGGTAAAGTTTACCCTGTGCTTAACTAATTAAACACTATGCCAATGAAGACATATGGGGGTGTGGATGTATAGATCCAAATTTTCTTGACCTCGGCACTAGTTGGAGGTGAGTGATCAGCTTCACGCCCCGACCGCTTTAGCCCCAGGGAAAGAGTCCCCTGTACTCATTGGATATGAGGTGGGGTGGGCCTCAGCTGGTCTGGACAATGTGGACAAGGGAAAATTCTTGACCCTATATGGACTCAAATTTCGACTCCTTGGTCATCCAGCCCTTAGTCTGTCGCTATACTGACTATGCTATCCCAGCTCCTCTCTTTTGTGGCCCGGGGGGGGNACATTACATTAAAGTGCACTACTTACCCCTTTTATTATTTGATGCTTTTCCAATGAATAATTTCAATAAATACAGTTTTATGCCAATGTCCTCCTTCACCATGGCCAGGAAGAGGCGTAGAGGGACAGATTTTGTTGACAAGCCAATACATTCTAGCATTGCCCACTGTTAGGATTGTGGAGGATCAGGTATTTTGCATGCTGCTGCACAAAGTAACAACAGTTGTCTGAGAATCCTCAAAGTCTGACACTGAAAAATCGATGTTCAAACTGAGCTCAAGATTTTCTCCTTGATTTGCTCTAAAGAAACTCAAAACTTACTCATGCTCAACTCTGACAGTTGCCCGATTTTCTTTGTCTTTTCCTGCTTATAAGATGTGCTTTAGTTTTGAGGGTCATTTCTTAATGAAGGAATTGCATCTTACATACCAGAAAATGTGGTATAGTCACTGCAGGTCATGATTTCCGTTCAATTTCACTTCAGTCTGAGGATTTGCTTGCATGTACAGAACACGCTTACGTACATTAATGTTTAATTGTTACCTGTTTTTCTTTCCCAGGAAACATACAAAGTTTGAATAACTTCCTATTTAAAATTATTAGTAATTGTAGAGTCCTGTAATTGCTTTACTCACACTGAATTATTTCTGTTTTCAGTAACCTGTGGTATTTTGTGTCTAAATTCACTGAATTTGATGCCAAAAAATTGTTCAAATTGTACAAACATGCTGTAAAGAAGGATCAGGATAAGAAAGGACCAGAGAAGAAGATAAAAGTAGAAAAGGGGGATAAAGAAGAAGTGAAAACAAGTGAGTCAAAAGAGGATAACCGTAATCGAACTCAAGGCAAGCGGCATATTGATGAAGAGAAGGATCCTGAAAAGGATACATATGTGACACCTGTTAAAAGGCCATATGTGCAGTCAGATGTAAGGTTAGTTGGAATACAGGAGTATTTACAGCTGTAATAAGTTTATATTTGTGAAAATTGTAGTATGTTTAATTTTTTAAATGCATTGCCATGTTTCTGACTGGAACTAATTGGTATTTTTCCTTCCCCCTGAAGTCGAAGTCGTGATAAGGAAGAACGTGGCCGTGACAAGGAGCGAAGTAAAAAATCAAGTAGTGATCCTAGAAGTGATCGCTCATCCCGAGAACATGATCGTAATAAAGACAGTGGACGTATTCATAAAGACAGTGGAGGTAGCTTACCTCTGACCCCAACCCATCAGCGAATGAGAGATGGTAATGGACCAACAACTCCTTTACGTAATGTTGGGCAGACTGCTGCTACTTCTTACATTGCAAGGCATGAGTTTCTTCCAGGAGGAGATGGAAGGACCACAGCTAGCCCACATGGACGGCACAGTGGATCAAACATAAGTGATGGAGGTGGTGACCGTTGGTCCAGTGGACAACCCAGAGAAAGGTACTTGTGAATAGATTCTCCCTCCTCACCCAAATCTGTCATTTCTCCCTCCTCAAATTTTTTCTCTTCTCCTCTCAGCAAGCAGGGCAGTTTGTCTGTCATTCTTTGCTGCTTACTATGAATTGTTAAGATGCAACTCATTGTAATTATGAAATGTAAGAATATTCAGATTTCATAATAGACGTTAAATTTTATGGTATTCACTTATATGATATTTCACTTCTGATATCTAGTGTTTGCACTTTCTTGGGGAAAGTGAGGACTGTTAGAAGAGAGTTTCCTTAGCATCTCTGATTAATGGTAATGCTGTTGAATATATTTTTATGACAGGCTTTGGCTCATTGGAGATAAGATGGATTTTGAGGGTGGATGCTATAGGGTAGTTATGAATTATCCTCTACCTCTCTGTATAACAGCATCATATCCAAGAAGACAGGAAATGTGACTGGTGATGTTACAGAATATGGTTAATGCCGTATCTGAATGACCCAGTCTTCTTAAAATGGAGTTACCCCAATGTTCTGCCAGATTATTTTATATTCTGGGGAAACTGATTTGAGTTGTCACTTTCCTCATGGTGGTGGCTTTTTATGTGGTGTCTGAGTCTTCCAGGGTAACCAGTAAAAGGGTAAAGTTTTCCCTCTGCTTAATTAATTATGCACTGTGCCATGAAAATGGGTAGTATTCTAGGATACGATACTTATTTTGTTTGACGTGTGGGATGTCTGTAAAGATGAGTACAAGACTGAAGCAGAGTGCATCATAGAAAGAACAAGTAAAAATAAAGGATAATGAATGTGCATGTGTCTAACAGTTCTATTTTCACAAATCTCCTCTCCCCTATCTCAAATTTAAAACTCGAAACCTAACTGTTCATGATTATTGGCATCTGGGATATGATGCTGTTTAATTCAGTAGATAGGTACCAAAGTTTTGGAGAAACTTTCTACCTTCATTCTGAGGGGAGACATCTCTTGTCACCGACTCTTTGTACATTTGAGAACTGTGCATTCTAATTTGTTTGTTTCTGTTTCATACTAGTGGCTCCTGATAAAATCTATTACTGGGCTTTAATTTAGGTGCATATTGCAGCTAAGAGAGAGCAAGTCATAGGAAAATAGAGGAGTTGTATGATGCGTTTTATAGTATGTATTTTTCAAAAAACATTCTTAGGATGATCAGATTAAGAAGGATGAGATGATGGTGCTTGTAGCATGCATGGGAGATGAAAAAATTGATGCGGTATTTTAGTCAGAAGACCTGAAGGGAAGAAACCACTTATGAAACCTAGGCATAGATGGTAGGATAATGTTAAAATGGCTCTTTGAGAATTGCATAGGTTCTGATGGTATTGATTGAATTCATTTGGCTCAGGATAAGGGACAGTGTTCACGGTAATGAACATTAAGGTTCCATGAAGGGCAAGTAATTTCGTAACCAGCTGAGCAACTGTTAGTATCTCCGAGAGATTTGGTTCTAAAATTAGTTACAATCTCTCATTATTAGATGTTCTTTACCATTTTGAAGTTTTGTAAATTGTTAAGTTTTGTGGCTGTGGAATTTAATGATATGTGAATGGCCTTCATAATAAATTCAGGAATACTGGAATTATGTTCTTTCTGTAATGTCTGAATGGTAACATACTATCATTATTTTCTCGCAGATTTTGATCTTCCAAATAATCACTTGCAAAAGTTGTTTCTTCTCCTTCTACCATCAGAGCAACATGTCCATTGTAACTTCCTTTGTTTAGTTACCAAGACAGTAAAAGTAGATTAATATAAATCTCTGCCAACATAGTTCATCTTAGATCAAGGTATTTTTCTTAGAATTTTGTTTCAGAATACTTACTGTACATGTTCGTTTATTTGTTTATTCTTTCCTAAAGATAAGAGACTGACTCATGACCATACAAAGCACTGTGAAAAATAATTGCATTTTATTTATCATCATTACTGGTCCTGAAAATAGGTGAGATAACAGATTCTGCACAAAACAATAACAGATTTGCTTAGTGAAGCAGTAGTAGTTTGTTGATGTTGCATATAACAGGAAAATACCAATGAAGAAATTTGCTAAGTGGGATTTCCAGTCTTTCATTACGTATCTTGACATATAATTTTGTCTTCCTTTCAGGTTTAATGTTGACCACAAGAGAGATAGATTTGATAATTATCAGCGCCAACCAGGTCCTGGTTCAGGGTCTGGTTATCATCGAGACAGAGACAGAAATCATCGCATGCTAGATAAAAGAAGGTGACAGCTCAGGGTCATGTTTAAATTATTTTAATATTTATAGATGAGTTCAAGTAATGTTTGTTCTAATAAATACTAAATGACAGGGATCTTTAAGTAAACATGTCTAGGCTGCAAAACAGCTTCCATAGGACAAAATGAAGTGCACTGCCTATCAGATAAGACAGTTCCAGGTATGCAACACATGTATGAAATAATATCCACCAATACTGGAAAATATAAGACACTGTGAAGAAAAACAACAGATTCTGCTAAGAAGCCAACATTAAATATAAAAGAAATTTATATATCTGTATACACTCAACTCTCGATTATCCAGGATAATGGTGGGGATGGAAATCACGATTAATCGAAAACCTGGTTAAGGCAAATTTTATTAAAAGTAGTACTGTAATACTGTACCTTCATAATACTATAGGCCTACCTGTATTTAAATTTATTCAACCTCATTTTTATGTCATCTCATGGCCTATTTAATACTTTTTTTACAATACACTGAAGTATGAATTAGTTATTTGAATCACAGTGTTCAACACCATCCAACACTTTTTACAAATATTCACACTTAACACTTAAAAAATTTAATATTGTTGTTTGCTTTTTTGCGGCATTTTCCTTTTTACGGATATCCGTACGAAGCCTACGTAATATTAACTTGTCACTTAATAAACTGTTCTCTTCACTCTCAAGATAGTCTAGTAAGGATTCCAAATGATTAAGAGCAGCACCATGTGATACTTTCTTACTAGCAGCACTGTCCACATCTTCCTCATTCTCACTTTCTTCCCGCTCTTCTGACTGCACCCCCACTTAAGTTATGATTTCGTCACTGCTTAACATTTCGAAGCCCGGCTCACACGAGTTACTGTTGAATACTTAACACAACACGCTTCCTTTTACACCCTGACATTTTGCTAACGCACTTGAAGATCGATACAAAGGGACTAACTGGGGCGGTGTATCTCTCCTTGAAACTTTCCACAAATCCTTCCATTCTTTCACCCCTACCCTAGAACATTGTGTTAGCATAACGGGACCAAAGAATGCAGAGCTCGGTTCACACTAGTGCGAAAATAGTGTTACAACTCGCCATGTGAAACAAAAGTGAATGAATATTAAACAACATATAAGCCTCAAAAAAGCCCCAGTTAAGCCGCAAACTGGTTAATCCGCCCCCGGATGATTGAGAGTTGAGTATATATATACAAAACATCACCAGCTACAAAAAATTTTTTTTTTGAATGAAATAGAGTAAATCTGGATTCTACATTTCTGAATGGACCATTTAAAATATTTTGAAATTAAATACACTAAATGAATACAGTATTAAATTAAAAGTGTAATCTGGTTCACTTCTTCCAAATGTCCGTTAAAGTAAATTATACATTCTAAGCTTTCTGCTGAACCCTGTACAGCTAATTCTCAGTACCACTGAAGGCAGCCATCCTGTTATCATTGACTTCAAACTGCATGAGGTATTTCCTCACAGTGCAAGTGCCAACAGAGATATTGCTGGAGGTTCACTTTTTCCACCATAATCTTCCTCCTCCCACTCCTCCTCAGACACATCAGATGTAAACCTTTCATCCACTGCCTGTTCTATCACAGGATACATATTATTGTAATTATACACCTGCTTTCAGCTGACCTCAGTCAGTCAATTGTGCAGCTACTCAAGAACTTCCCAGCATTTTATGGAACCTGAAGGTTCATTACCATGTTCACAAGATCCAGTCCCTACCATCCCATCCTATCCCTCTGAGATGCATTTTAATATTGTCCACCCACCTACACCTGGTCTTCCCAGTGGACTCCTTCCTCCTGGCTTTCCCACCAGTATCATATATGCATTTCTCCCCCCCCCCAATTCGTGCTACATGTCCTACCCATCTCATCCTCTTTGACTTCATCATTCTAATTATACTTGGAGAAGCATACAAGTCATGAAACTCCTTGTTATGCAGTTTTCTCCAATGTTCTATCACTTCATCCCTCTTCAGTCCAAATATTCTTCTCAGCACCCTGTTCTCAAACACCCTTAGTCTATGTTCCCTTAATTTCAGAAACCAAGTTTCACACCCATACAGAACCACAGGAAAAATTAGTTTCATATATTTTAATTTTTATGCTTATAGGCATCAAACAAGAAGACAAAAGATTCTGGACTGAATGGCAGCAAACATTACCCGAATTTAGTCTCCTCTTAATTTCCTCCTGAATCATATTTTGATTTGTTAGCTATCTTTGTCATGATTTTGCCCTGCATTCTGGTGAGACAATTTTCTCTGTGTTTACTTCTAGACCAACCCCCTTACAAACATCAAAGTTTCTGTTTCTACTCATATCTTTATGGTATTTATGTTGCCACCCAGTAGATTCATATCATCAGCACAGACCAGGAGCTAATGTGTACCGTTTAATTTCACTCCCACCTGGTTTTCCTGGACCTTCCTAATGGCACATTCTAAAGCAAAGTTGAAAGACAGTGGTGATAAAGCATCTCCTTGTTTTACACCATTCTTGATAGGGAAATTATCAGACAAATATTTACCTGCTTTACCATACACTTCATTTAAACACGTTTTAATCAGCATAACTAGTTTTTTGTGAGTACACTAAACTCTATCACAGTATTGTACTTCCCTCCTAACTGAATCATAGGCTTTCTTGAAGTCTGTGAATAGCTTATGTACTGTCTTATTGTACTCCAATTTTTTCTCCTGTATCCGACACAAAAAATCTGCTCAGTAGTTGATCTATCACTTCGAAACCCTTACTGATGATCCCCAATAATTTCATCTGTATACAGACTTAACCTTGAGAGGATATTGGATAAAATTTTGTATGAAGTTGATAGCAGTGATATCCCATGACACGTAATTACTACAGTCAGCTTCATTGCCCTTTTTGTGAATTGGTACAATAACACACTCCTTCCACTGGTCAGGCAATTCTTCCTTATTCCAAATAGAATGAATTAGTTTATGATGTTCATCAGTGTTATTTTTTCTCATAATTTGATATTGATGAGAATTTCACAAAATTGTTATTGGTAACATTCCTGTTTCCTTCCATCCACCATACCCACAGCAATTAATAATACAGGTATGGGTGGCCAGATGTGTTTTTATTTTGTAATGAGAAAATCCAGAATACGTAATCTGAAATTAGGTGTATCAAATGATAAAAGGTAGCAGCAGGTAATGGATGTACTAAGATCGAGCAAAGTATATGAGCCTGGTAGCCAAATTGAAGTTGAATACATCAGTTCTTGTCAAAGGGTTGAACTTTGAATACTGCTGTAGTCTGTTATACATTTCATTGCATTTGTAAGGTGTAAAATGGTGTTGATAGTTTTCAGAAAAATGTGTTGGCTCATTGCTTTATACGAATTAGAAAATTGCATCATCAGTATTCTGATGTTAATTAAGTATCCTACCTTTATTTTCCTCCCTTCAGATTTCATCAAGGTCCAACAAATTATGGTCATTATGGACCACCGTTTGGGCCAGCTCCTGTTTACCCTCCAGGCGAAATAACACCTCATTTTCCACGAGAGAGGTTTCCAGTACCACCACTGGGTGTTGGTGGTCCTCCTGGTGGCCCAGGAAGTGGATTTCCTGATTGGCGGGGGAATAAGGAGAGGGACTATCGTAGAGATTATGACAGGAGGCCACCTCCCACAAATTCGTAGTAGTGCTTCAAGTTGTGCGAATGCAGCCGAGTGTAGTGTTTGGTGAATCATTTGTCCACTGTACATAATAATGCAGCTTGTGGACATAATCATGTGTACAGTTACTGATAACTGATGTAAGATATTGTGTGAAATGAGCTTCCTAGAAGTATTTGCAATGAACAATATTGTATAAAGGTGTTGGTTTACAAACTATATACATGTTGTTCCTGGCCGGAATTAAGAAAGAATCATAAGGATTATTTGACATTTGAGAAAGGCTGTACGAGTGTAGTATGTATTGTGCTTATTACAACAATCTGTACAGTTACAGTACTTGTTAAAAATGCAGACATACTGTTGGAGAAGTTTTAGAAATCATGTCTGACACCATTGGATAGTTTTATATTTCATTTCTCAGGAGGTACTTACACTGTAGTGATTAAGATGATGAGAGTTCATCATAGTAATTAATATTTGATCTTTTCTTTTCATCACTCGTAAAACTAAAATCATATTTTGGCTTATGATGGTTTTACATTCTTTTATATATGCCAAATGGTTTTCAGTCACAGTTTCAAACTCTAGTTTTGTGAATTGTTACAGTCTGTAAATTAGATTTATAATGTAAACTACTTTATACGTAATTGTTTCCAGTGTATTTCATTCTTTTCATGAGGCTGTGGTTAAGATTTTGATTTTTTTATATTCCTCTCCTCTGCCCCTTCTCAAAATATATATTAACCGTTTATTTGTAGCAGACAAGTCTATAGTTATGCCTGAACAACGTAGTGCATTCTTGTTTATCATTTATACATTTGTCAACATCTAATTGATTTAGAGTTTGGTAAAGAAGGGAAGGAAAATTTTAAAAGTTAAGCTGTGTAGATACATAAATCATAATATATTTATTTTCAATAACATGTACAAACTATATGACAAATGAATATACTGTATACTACAAACTATTTGAGTCTCTGATTTCTAGTCAGTTCAGGTTAAAACAAGAAAATTAAAGTAAAATACATTTTATATTAGTTATTTTAAAGTCAGAACATAAAGTAGCATAATTTTTCTCTTCTATACATTCTCAAAACTTCTGAGAAATAATCTCCATCTTAATATGCATTTTAGGTACCTTATTAAGACTGTAAGACTCTAGTAATGCAGCAGTACAACAGACAGCAACACCTGTCTTGTTGCAGCATTAGGCAAGCTGAGGTATTCTGTTTGGGATATCTCATTCAGAAACTCTTAACTGTGGAAAATTTTGAAAACAGAATCTACAGACATTTATTTTCCAACAAATTATTCCTTTGCTTTGAAAATGTGCACAATAAAATGACATTTATAAATATAGAATACCATTGCTGCATTCCTTGTATATTTACCCTTTCCATCTTTCTTACAGCAGTAGTATTCTCTTCATAAACATTGCACTATTTTATAATTAGTAATCCTCAAAAACACTAAAGATTGTTCACTTGTTTTCTACTTGGAGCATTCTGGAGGGACTAACTTTTTCTACCGTTCCAGAGCTTCCCAGCCATTTTTAATTAAGGGACTAGTAAAACACAAATGGATTTTCTAAAATCTGCCACCCCATCTCTCTCAAATTGCAAAGGATATAAACACAAATTCTGAGTATCTGTAAGTCATTAGAACAAAATTAAAAATATTGCTAGTTGTAAAGTACTGATTTTTCAGATGTTCAGGGGTTTTCAGTGGGATGTGATGATGCATAGTCTGGTAGACGTTACCGACACTTCAGAGGATTGTCAGTTAACTTCTAAACTACATGTCATCATATCATATTCCATATTTGTTTTAATATTACATACGTTCAAGTAAAATATGTATATCACACAAGAGATGACAATTTGAAAACTCTTCTGTAATAACATTATATGTCTCTTCTGTCTTATATTGCTACATTCATGATGTTACATCCATCATTGTGTCTTTGTCAGAAGTCACTAAATTTCTGCAGTTTTGCCCTATGAATATAAGAACTTATTAAAATGTATGTAAGATTTGAGGTTTTCACGGCGGTGACTATGAAGAAAGCAGTCGGGACTATATTCAACCATATCAGCAGAGTGCTGTCCAGGCACATCATCAAATCAGTGGGTCTGCCTCCAAACAAATTATCCAGTTTCCTCTGGCTGGTCAAAGATAGCCTGGGACTAAGGACACTGAGTGTATACAGTATCCCATGCAAGTGCGGCAAGGTCTATATTGGGCAGACGGGCCGCTCCATGGACATGAAGTTGAAGGAGCATCAGTGGCACATCCGGACAAGTCAGCTGTAGCTGAACACAGCATCGATTTGGGACACCACATTCAGCTTCAGAATACCTCCATCCTCGCCACCAAGACCCGATATATGGATTGCATCATTAGGGAAGCCATTGAGATTGAACTCCACCCCAACAATATGAACAGAGAGGGGGGGTTTTGTCTCAGCAAGTCATGGAAGCCTCTCATCTATTCCCTAAACCCACCCCCAGCTTAAGGGTTAATTCCCTCCCATTAACCTTGCCTTTCTCCCCCGACACAATGTCCGATACCTGCTCTAACCTTGCTCCTGTCCCAGACCCTTCCCCTCTCCCTCTCCACTGATTTCTCATGTAGACTTGTCCCCTTCCTTCCCTGCTCTCATATAGCTGAGTTTAATTCCAACATTAGTCTGCTTGCACCTGTTCTCACTGTCTCTTCGCTTGCAGATTTTCTTATTTTTCCTTCTGCCCTGAAGATGGAGGCGAAATGTCGGTTAACACCATATCTACACGGTGCCACATCCCAGAAGACTGCTTTCTTATTATTAAAACTTGTTGCTTGCTCAAAAGGTACTGTAAAATTCAGATCCTCACTTTATGAATATGTATCTGCTGATTCAGTACACAGTTAATACTAAATAACCTCTACAGCTGACTGAGAATGGATGACCTAGGAATCAGCATCCTTAATAACACCTGCTTGTGCAAAAACAGGGTTCTATTAAGGTAGTGTACATTCAGCTTTTACAGTAAGTTACAAATTGAGGTGGGGACTGCAGAATAACTTGCAGCAGTTCCTGTGTATTTGTATCACTGCAGCATTCTGGCCTGCACGAAGAAGTTGTTGTACTAATTATCAACCCAGGAGACCACTGGCTTGATGCTCACCAGAATGGTGTCCAAGAAGCTAGGAAGTACACCTGACCTGCGACCTGCTGTTTGTGGCTTCCCCAGACAAGAAGCAACCCCAGACTGACCATGTGATGGACCTCGAAATGGCTGTATCACATCAATTATTATGCTTGTCAACATCTGAAGGTGGCCAGCAGCAGTCTGAAGGCACAGGACAGCTGCCTAGCCAACTCAGTGGAATTCCACAAATGAGACAAAATCTGGTTGTACTGCCTGACCCATACCAAAGGGAAGTTGCCTAAGCTGCAGCGTACCTGGGAAGGCCCTTACAAGGTGTCACCTTCATTAAAGATGTAGTCTTCAGGATCCACGTGAAGATGATAGTGGTGCACCTGGACTAGTTTGTGCCATATCTATTGGCTACTCTGAATATACAGCCTTGAGGAGGAAGGTGTGTTGTAGAATTGAACATGGATTGGGGAGGGGAGGTGGAGCTTGGCCAGTGCATACCTGCATACCTATCTCCTCATGTTCTTTCCAGAAAATTGGATTGTCACCCCATTCACATTAGGACCAAAACTTTCCTGAAGTAATGACATGAATAAAATCATGGTTGCAAGGCAAGGAGAGGATAATCTTAGTCTCATTCTGAGCTTAGAAGTGGTGTACAGCAGACATATGTTGAGTATCGGGCATGAAACTGAGCATGCCATGAATTGCAAGTGCAAAATGCTATGAAGAGGACAAAGCAATGGCTACTAACATTAACTGTTCTAAACAGGATAAACATCACATCATAATTTCATAAGCACAGCCTTTGTAAAAGAAGAAATGGCTGTACACCTGCCTGATGTTGGGAGCAATTTAGTATGTAGACCCATTGCTTGGCAGCAACCCCTTAAAAGCAACAAAGGAATGGTGTTTTCTATGTGGTCCATGCCGAGGTGTTATAAGAAGAGCAAGTCAGCTGTTGCTGAGTTAGTTACAGGACTGCTGCGGTTCAGTCATTGTGAGCGTCTGCTGTGAGAAGCTTTTAGCTGAGGCATGTGACAGTCTGGGAACAATCAGAAAGCAAAATGTCTGCCATTGGAAGTCACTACCATGCAACGGCTAGTGAAGACTGTAACAGACTGAGAAGACCTAGTTTGTTTAATAATGCTTTGTGAAGTGTGAAGAACAGTGATAGCATAATCCTTACTTGTAGTTACAAGTTGCAAGAATTCAATAAATCAAGTTACAAGCCACAGAAATCATGACATAATTCTCCCACCTATGTCTAGGCCTTCCTAGTGATCCCTTCTCTCCTGGCTCTCCCACCAGAAGCCTACATGGGGGGAGGACTCCATGCATGCTACTTTCCCTACCCATCTCATCCTTCACTCACTCCCCCTTCAGCTAATGCAAATGTACACATTTCCACCATTATCTCAAACAAATTCACTAAAACCAAGTCTGGCAGTACTGTTCTCTCAGAAAGCACAAGCACCACCTAAATGAATGTTCATGGGGCCTGACATGATACACAAACCAAAAAATAACATGGAGGCAGGTTGGATATAGAGCAGTAATGCCAATGGCAGAAATAAATCAGTCCAGCAGTATTTGACAATCTCAACTCCACGCATCTACCAACCTTTCACCATCTTTCAACAGTACAATGATCAAACAAAACAATCAGACCAACATGATCAACCACTAACAGGTGTTTTAAATCCAGATAAAGAGAAAATAAGAGAAGTATTCGATACCAAGCTAATAAAAGAAGTCCATATACTATATTGCTACACCATATTAGACTTACTTTCAGTCAGCATTACAGTTATGACTAAACTAAATAAATTAAGACTGCCCTCCCACTGGCACAACTGACCGCATTCACCCAGTCTTCTGAAATCAGCTGTGCTAAGTGCACACACTGAAAGGAAAAGAATCAGTGGTTAACAACATGCAACAAACATTATAAGCTAACCCCACTACTGCTATTTGACTACAAAAAATGCAATCACTAAGAAACCAGATCATCCAATCATGGTCAACTGTGGCAGCGATGGTCACTGAAACAATTCCAGTAGTGTTGATGCGCGAGATCTTATAAAAAGTTATGTGACAGCTGTAAATGAAAGAAAATCACATACTGCATATGATGTCGGACATCAGCCTAACTGCTGAAACTGATATAGAATATGATAAATTTGCCATACAAAGTTTTCACATTACATACAAGAACATTCAGAGCCAACAAACAACCTATTTTTAAATACACCGGTGAATATGTGGCCAAGACCCTGACGACAAACGCTACGCACTATATTCGATAAAAATCCATGGTATTACGAACGTGGACTTTCAAGAATTATCATTCACACTACAACAGGGCTCAGGACACAAGGTTATAACTACCCAATAACGTCTGTAGGTAACAGAACCGATGCCAATTTCTGAGTGAATGCATGATTACGTATTACATAGGTTATAAACGGTATAAACAAATAATATGTGACGGATGGATATATGACAGTTCACCCATTTACACTTGCACCTCAACTAACATATAAAGAATAACGTATTACTATGTCTTTAAAAATACATAATATAATACATATACATAACGTAACTCTATATACGTTTCATGAAGTTCATGACCATCAAAGATAAACAAATTATCCGTGAAGGAATATTTCGCAAATGACCACCAGGTGGACAGGTGTGCAGTCCCCTTTCACAAGAAAACAAAGATTACAGGTTCACGCTTCTATAATTTACTGCAATTATTCATCTTGATCACATACATGAACTTCAAAAACTGAGAGACGGACACAAAAAAAAATATATTTTCACACATGCCAACGTATGGTGTTAAATATCTCAAGGCACGAAAATTAGCCTAAAACCAGGATAAAATCATAGTTCGGCTTCGTGTGTTTCGTTTATCAAATATTTCACCTCACTTTTCTTTGTTGTATATCTAAACCAAATTAAGTGGCTGGGAAATAAGCGAGACAAAATTAATTTCCTGAATTCTAAATACATGTAGCAGCAATAGCTACAAAGCAATGGAAACCACGACATGCACTTCCTGTTCGTTCTGTCATAACCGTCATGACGGTCATGACGTAGTCTGCACTTCCGGCTTAGTGGCCCCAGGTGTAAGAATGGTTGTCCTGAGTTTGGTGAATTTCTATGTGTAATTGTTGTAAATGACGACGGGAAAGGATATCATGGGGTGAGTAA